GGGGGGCACGGGACCCAGGGTGCTGGCTTAGCCTCCAGTCACCCCACGTCGGGGGTCCCATTCTCCAGCCACTTTCAGGCAGCAAGGCCGGCAGTGCTGCCCCCTCCACCTCCACCACCCTCACTAGGGCGCTCCAGCCACTGCCAAAGCAATTTCACGGAGGTTTTCCAGAAGAACAGCCCCTGCGAAGATGATCAGGGTCCCTCCAGCACCCTCAGCAGAACCCCTGACGTCATCCTCAACAAGAGAACAGCCGGACCCTTAATGACATAAAAATAACAGAGGTCAGCGTGAGAGCTGGGCACAGGAGGACCAGCGCCAGCATGGAGACGCACCACGGCCGGCGGCGAGGGCAGAGCTGGAAGGAGAGAGGAGCCAAAGCCCTTCCGTACCCTCCTTTAGACGGAGCACCAGCCCCGGGAGCCTGGCCTGGCCCCTGCCCTGCCTGCTCGCAGCTCTCGGGTGCCGTCTCCTCAAGCCCAGCCCGGCGCCACCCCACAGCTTGTGTCCGCCACCCAGCTGGGGTGCAGGAGGGACCTGGAGCAGGTGGGGCTGGAGTGGGGGGAGCCCGGTGCATGTTCTGACCGTCGCATGTGTGACCCAACCACCACGTGTGGGCTCCAACCTTCGCGTGTGGGCTCCAACCTTCGCATGTGGGCTCCAACCTTCGCGTGTGGGCTCCAACCATCACATTTGTGCCCCAACCATCACACATGTGTGTGCTCCAACCACCATGTGTGTGCTCCAACCCTCATGTGCAAGCTCCAACCATCATGTGTGTGCTCCAACCAGCGTGTGTGGGCTCCAGCCATCATGTGTGTGCCCCAACCATCACACAGGTTGGCTCCATCCATCATGTGCAAGCTCCAACTATCATGTGTGTGCTCCAACCATCACACACGTGGGCTCCAACCATCATGTGGGTGCCCCAACCATCACACATGTGTGTGCTCCAACCACCATGTGTGTGCTCCAACCCTCATGTGCAAGCTCCAACCATCATGTGTGTGCTCCAACCAGCGTGTGTGGGCTCCAGCCATCATGTGTGTGCCCCAACCATCACACACATGTGCTCCAACCATCATGTGCAAGCTCCAACCATCACGTGTGTGCTCCAACCATCACGTGTGTGCTCCAACCATCACGCGTGTGCTCCAACCATCACGTGTGTGCTCCAACCATCACGCGCATTCTCCATGAACCGCAACCACACTCCATCCACCACGTGCACACACTCCGGCCAGGCCTGGTTTAAGGAGGGTGCGGACAAGACTATGCCTTGGGAAGAGGGGCTGGAGAAGTCCAGAGGATGCCAAGGGCGTTTTCACCCCTGCACACAGACCTCAGCCAGTGCACCAGGGTCTTCATCTGCGTTAAAGCCTCCAGGCACGCTCTTAATGTTACCTCTCTAATAATAATATTTCATCTGCCTTATCTGATTAGGTTAGGCTCATTTGATTTTTGCAAAACACCTTTAATCACCTTGCAAATTCCCCCTCATTATAAACAGAGCCACCACAAACATTTTCAGCAATTCAAGTTTTATTTTCAGCAATCCTCTTATTTTTTTATATGCAAGAAAGGCAGTTGTAAAAAAAAAATATTTAAAAATATGAACAAGACAGAGGCTGAGAAAACATTAACAAGGCCCTGTGCTTTCTGCTAAAGTGCCTTCATTTCATTATCATTAAATTTGCGTAGTAATTAGATTTCGGTGCATGAATATTTTAAAAAAAATGTAACAGACAGGCTGTCAAAAAAAAGCACGACAACATCAATTCGATAATTTTTTAGACAGAGACATTCATAAGCAATTAACACAGATTTTCTGGGTTTGGAGACTTTTTCCTTTCTATTTTTCTTCTATTTTTTTTTTCTTCTTCTTTTTCCTTCCAGCCTTGTGTTATTCACCTGAAATCAAAAGAAAAAGAGAATCGCTGTAAACATCAGCACTTCCATTTCTGCTCTTTTTTTCCCGGTTTGCCAACATGCGAACATGATCCCGGTGCCGTTTTTCCCTCTCGCTGGCCGCGCGGAGCCCTCGCTTAGCATGCTCCGGCGCTCCTCTCCCCCGCCTCCCACCCCAGCCTCGCTAAAAACACAGGCAGGCGCGAGGTTGGGTCATCCATCAGACCTCCCCACTCCTGCAGGACCAGATTAAATTAAGGTTGCATGAAGCTTCTGTCTTGATCTTCAGGCATTTCTGCTGAAAACAGTGATTTTGATCACTATTTGCATAATTGTACAGTTACGTATTCACCGGGTCTCTAATTATACGATCTGTGTTCGACACCGCTCCAGACGAGGCGAGGCTTGCGAGGGGCATACTAAACCAGCTCCTCGCCAGTTATCCCCCACGCCCCGGGCCTGATCCTGGCTCCAGGTGAGCTCAGGGACGACCCCCTTCCCACAGCTCCTCCCGGCAGGCTTGTGACCCCCAAATCGCAGTGGACACAGCCCCGTGCTTGCCCTCCCCACCCCGTTTGCGTGCGAGACGCACGCCGAGGAGGATGCTGGCCCCAGAACAGAGGGGTTGGGGTTGGGGTACCAGTTCCTGCCCTACAGCTACCTCAAAGCCCCCCTGCAGAGCCGTCGTCCTCTGGGTTTCACCCAAAGGGATTCAGTTGAGGTGCAACACCCTGAGCCTCTCTCTTGCTCGTGTTGCACGTTTCCAACAAGACCAAAAGGTGGATGGGAGACAACGTAGTCCCAGATTTCCCCCTTTTTCCCCCTCCTCAGAGGTCCCAGAAGAACCTCACACCCAAGAAAGAAATCCAACCCAGGGGCTGTTTCCTGGGATGACTCAAGATCTGGGCTGTTTTGGAGGTTGGGGGTAGCACAGAGCAGGTTCAGGCTGTGCCTGGGACCGGCACAGACCCCAGACTACATTTCCCCTACGACTGACACGGTGCCACCAGCCCCGCGAAGACGCCCAGGGAGAAGCTGGTTCCTCACCATCAGCTTCTTGCACTTGCAGGGGGGCAAGTTCCTGCTCCCTCCTGAGCTCTTCATTTGGAAAGCAGCAACGTTTGGGCTTCCAAAGTTCCTGGGTTTAGTCCTAAATCCTTGAAATACTCTAGAAAAGGGGCCTCTTCCCTCCAGGCATCCCAAGTCCTTCAGAAATCCCGTCCGTATTTTAACCGAGTCCTCAAAATGCCGAGAGCCCAACGTTAGGTTTGTGCAAGGTTTTGCAGTAAGCTCCACTTGGGACAGCTCAGGGTTATTGCGGACAGGTAGCCAAAATGATCTTTGCGGGTCTTAAAGAACATGCACCAGAGCTAACGAGCGTGCTGGGAAGAGAAAGCAATAACAGAAATCCACACATCCCCCCAGTTATTTGACCTAAACATATGGGGTTGTTAAAAAAAAAAAATAAAAAATCTGCGTCTGTTATTTTTTATTATTGCTATCATCGCGATCATCATCTCGGGCAAATTAAGAATACACAAAACAGCCACACACAAAGAAAATCCTAGACCTCAACTCAGGTCATGCCTTCCTCAAATCTCCTTTGCAAGGTTTTATCGGCAAGAGCAGGGAGTAGAAGCAGTTGGTACAAGCAGCTGAAAGACCAAATCAAAAGCATGTGAGCAGATTAAAGAATCAATCTCTCCGTTTGATGCAGAGGAAATCCCACTAATTATAAAGAAGGGGCTTATTTCCTGGAGTCACTCTGTTTGAAGTCATCAAAACTAGTAATACTTAATTACTCTACTTTATGGAATATATAACATCGAGCCCCTTCTCCCACTTGCCAGTTCTCTGATGCCATCTCTGGCGCTGGGGGTTCCAGGGGGTTGTGGTGATGTTCCTCCCGTACCTATGCACTTATTTATTCAAATGAAGCCCTTAACAGCCCTCGCATGAGCCTGCGGGGAAGCATTTAAACGTGCTTTAAAAGGAGGTTATAATGAAAAAAAAAATTTAAAAAAAAATAAAATCAAGTGATTTAGCCATGCAAGCTACCTGGCTATTATCGCAAGCATGTGTGCACGCCGTGCCAGCAAACACCTTCCGAATCCGGTATTTAGAGCTAAACCAAAGTGAAGGTATTTGCCCCGTCCTAATCCTTGGAAAGGGAAAGGGGACTGGCGGTGGTGTCACTGGAACTCGCCCTCCACAAGCCCTCCTTGGGGCCTTGCTGAGCAATCTCTGAATGCCCAGGTAAGAGAAGAGCGAGCTGCCAGCCCGTGCTTTATGGGCACAGCTAGATTACATCCATAGATAGACCAAAAAAAAAAAAAAAATTACATTCAGGCATTTTGAGGAAAAAAAAAGAGTGACAGGTAGGCACGGGAACTTCTCAGAACTGATATAAAGATATTTAATATCAAGGACTGTCTGATTTTCCTCGTCTCTCCAGGCGGCTGTAGGGCAAAGCTGGTCAGGATGTGCTTTGCTCGAGGGCCAACAACTGCCAGTCTCATGAAACACCACGTTAAATCTCCAGTTTCTGGAGCCAGGTGATGAACGTGGAGGGGAATCATAGCTTTCATTTTTAAAAAATAGCAATAAGCATATTTTTACAGGTTGAGAGAAACCTTGAAAACCATGAGCCAAGAGATTCAGGCGGGGACAGGCAAGTAAGTTAATTTTTATTAAGTTTTGCTGTTCTCGATGTTGTCTCGAGGGGAGATGAATACTCCTGAGTGTATCCTGGAACTGAAGCTGCTCCCAGGACCCAGGTCCTCAAGCAAAGCCATTCCCAGCAAGGGAGTGAAGCTCAAGGGAGCAGAACCCTCTCCCAGGATGAGACTGGGGGCTCTAAGCCCATCACTCCTCAAAGGCAACCTCCAGGGAGCAGGTTTCGTGACGAGCTGCCTATTTGTGTGACAGGGGAGCACCGGGACAACCCAACTTTGGGTTTGACTTGCTCAACCCTGGCTGGTTACAAGACATTTTTTCCCAATTGCTCTCTTTTTCCAACTCAACTGGTAAATTTTGGAGGCGGAGGGGGAGACAGGAGCACATATCTTCCTTCATCACCACCTACACACACCTACCCGGGTCTACGGGTGCTACCCAGACATCACTACTACTAGGAGTAACAATAATTCCTGGAGTTTCTCCCAGATGACTGAGTGCAGCTGGGGGAGCGCAGGGGAGATGTGGAGCTATGTGCCACTGTTTGAAATTCTGCACATACCACCCCGCGTCGGGAACGTCCCAGGAATGCTGCTGTGGAGTCATGAGGCTTCACAGCCAGGAACTGGGGGTGAAAAGGGTATTTTTATTTTTTTTTCCCTAAGACGGAAAGGGAAGAAATCTGCTAAACCCAGGTTTGACCTGACTGGGAAATGCAACTGGGCTCCACGCTAGTTCAGCCATCCTGAAAAATCCCTTTTAAGATGTCTGAGCTTTGTGAAAGCACCAAACCAGAGCACAGCTCTAAAAACCTCTCGACCCGCGCAAGGACCCTCGCGATTTTGCTGCGGGTGGGAGAAGGGGCGAGTGCCAAGCTCAGCAGCACCCACGCCGCAGGGCAGGGCTTGGCACCTCATTGCTCCCCTGCTCTGGGTTATGCCCTTCCTTGCTGTTTTGTTTCGGGTTTTTTTTTCAGATTAAAGTCCCAGAATCACCCCAGCACTGCTGGGCTGTGCAGGAGGATGGATGTGCAGTGTGGCATCCGCACAGACCCGGGGGATGAGAGCTCAGTTTCCAGCCCAGTGACACATCTGCTGTGTCCCCAGTACTGCATGCCCCCCCCCCCTTGGGGTTCTCCTTTAGAGAGGGAGCATCCGCCCGGAGAGGGCCAGCTCCGAGCTCTCTTTGCGGAATCTTTTGCACGCTTGCATAATATGAATCAAAATAATATTTCCCTGAGCAACACAGGGAGCATTCCAGCATTTAGCCCCTTGCAGGTGATGGGAATAGATCGAGCTGGACCTGAAATCAAACTCGCACAGCTCAGCCCCTCCGGAACTGAGAAAAACCCAAGATGAGCCCATCACAAAGAATTTTTTGCTTTGCCTCTTCAGCTCTAAGGTACAGAAGGAGGAAAAGAAGGATCCACTGCGAGGTGAACATCCCCGTCTTTGTTGGCTGGTAGAAGAGCAGCAAAAAAGGAATTGGATTTTATCCAAAGATAACAAAGCTCTCCAGGCCTGGAGATGTTCCTCCCTGCAATCTATCATGGGCACAGGCAGCACCAAGGAGCAGACCCAGGTCTGAGCTCTGGGTCTCCAATAACCTACTGCTGCTGCAGGACAGGCTCTGGGCAGGCAGACTTAAACTCCAGCCTGGTTCTAGCTCTGTCCTACATCAGAGGCCCCTGCACTGCTCCCAGCAACAGAGCACAAACTAAAGTTTTTGGGGGCTGCTTCTTCGCTCGCTGCCCTGAGGCCACAGGTGACAGAGGGTTTCCCTGTACGACCTCAAAAAGGGATGCAGGCTGGAGCAGACTTCTGTGCCTGGAAAATAAACACATCCCCAAGACCTAAACCTTTCCATAAGTTAAGCAACAAGGGCTTAGATGCTCTTCTCGGAGGGCTGCGGGAAGGGGGTCCCGCTCCCTGCTGACTCTCTCCAGAGGAAGGGGCGAGCAGATCCCCAGCGCCGCCGCGGAGCGAGGACCCCGCCGCAGCCCGGCCGAGGTCTGTTTGTCACTTTTCCTTCATTATTTGCAGTTTGTACACAGGCGTCATTAGGGATTCATTCGGTTTCCCTAGCAGCAGGCATTAGTCTGGCTTCCCTTTCCCCCTTCTCTCGCCAGCGCCCTTTATTTTTAGTGTCTTATTTACAGTTTGACAGAGTAACTGTAACCCTTGCAAGCTACTCCAGCGGCTTTAATCGGGGGAATAATGGGTCCTGTCTGGCGATGAATAGAATTTAGGGGACAGATTGTTCCACACTCGCCCGGTGGGGTAATTTATTTATGTGCGCACTTGTCAGGAGGAGAAAGGGACGGGGGATCTGTATGCGCCGAGGACACTGCCGGCACTGAAAGGGAAGGGAGAATGGAGCCAAATGCCCCAGATCCCGCTGCCCCCCCACTCCGGCAGCTGAATGCCTCCGGTGGCCGTGAACTTGGAGGGGCCGAAAGCCCCATTCCCAGGCCCTCGGCACGTCAGCGGGGCCGCCGAGCGACTGGGCTGCCGGCAGCAGGGCTCGGGGCTCCAGATGGGTCCGGCCGCGGCGGGCAGCCCTCCCCGGCACTGCCCCGCATAGCCGCGGCGCGGGGAGCACGTCCCATAGCAACGGTACAGTAGCAGGAGCACAGCGGGGGTCTGGGAAGAGAGGCAAAGCCCTCGGAAAAATACAGGATGGGTCCAGACAATGGCCCTCTCTCATATCATAAATTACACGGCGGCGACAAAAAGGGGACGGATGCTGCCCTCTTCTCTGCTCCCACAGCCCGAGTGCTTGCGGGGTGCTGGTGGGCATCCCTGGGCATGGGGACGGTGGTGGCACAAGGGAGAGGTGGTGGCATTGCACCTACCAGCCCCCTCACCTTTTTCCTGTCCCCTAAAACGCATCTCCTTCGTGCCACAGCATCCCTGTTTTCTGCCCAAAATGCTGCCTGAGCATCCAGCACCCGGGCACTGGAGTTGTCCGTCGCACCGTGACCGTGGTCCCTCAGCAACGCTGATGGTGCCCAGGATCGGGGAGAAACGGCTCCTGGGCTGGAGGTGGGACGTTTCCTCCTTCTTCTGTTCTTCAGAGAAAAGGCCCTTTTGCTCCTTTTTCCTCTCTGTGGCTCAAGGCCGGGAACATTTTGCATCTAGAGCCGATGGCAGCAACGACTCAGTTCAGCTTGTCCCACAAGGTTTTGCCCGGCGATGGCTGGGGCCGGACCAGGCTCCATCGCTGCCATCCCTGCGTTCCCATGCAAAACAGGACAGCGGGATCCACCGAGCAGGGAGGGTTCACCCCACAGAGACTCCCAGAAGAAGCGGGACAGACGTGCAGGAGGTCCCTTCACACCCACAACCAACCAGGCAACATCAGGCTAAAAGAGAAGGTGGCTCAGGCTGAACCCACCCGGACCCAGACACGGAGGCGCTGCAGCACCACCACAATTTGTTGCTGATGTCCCTTAAACGTCTCCCCTCTTGGCCTGGCTCCTCCCTACACGTGGCACCTTTCCTTTCCAAAAAAGCCTTAAGGTTAGCGTATAATTACACTTTCTACCTAAGACCCTGAGCCCCGTTAACGGCAGCCACAGAGCATCGCTCTGTTCCTGGGGTTTTACCCATTTACTGGTGTACTGGGAGAGCTGGGTGACCACTGGGAGCCCGAGCATGGGTAGATGTCCAAGCAAGCACCCAGACCCACCCCAGGTTCCTCTCCCGCAGGTGAGCAGGCTACAAGGACCGCGGTTTCTGGCTACATTAGACCTGAAACCATGGGAGCAGCGAGCTAGTGGATGGCAGAGGAGGACTGAATCGGACAGAGAGCACCACGATGTCATCTCCAGGCCATGGTGCAGAGAAGCACAAAGTCTCCTCTGGGTGTCCACTGGCCGGGGAACAGCCCGTGCCATGCTCCTGGCATTGCTCTGCTGCCACCCCGGGACCAAAGGGGGTGTGCTGGCTGCTTCGGGAGCAGGGTCTGACTGGTGGGGCCCCAGCCTGGTCCCACGGGCAGTGAGAGATCTGAGGCAGCCTGGGCATGCTGGAGTGGGGCCGCACATCGAGGTTGAGGCAACATCTGTCCCGACACAAGGCCAGGACCTCACTCGAGGGCCCCCCGCCAGGTCACGGCCGAGGGACACCCTCAGACCAGGAGCCTGTTTAGGGAAGACCTTCCCCTTGGCAGAGAGAACAAGACCTCTCCTTGCTCAGCTGATCTCAAGCCAAGGCAAGAGTCGTTGCTCACACTTAAAAAATGCAAGAAAAAGGTCTTTGCACCGGAAACCCGTGGGGTTTTCGCTGTCCCATGCCCCAGGCAGCCTGGCTCTGGAGGTCAAGGGCAGCCCTTGTACCGCTCCATCCCACCGCGAGAGGAGAGCGGTGACGATGGCAGCGAGACCTGCGGCAGGACTGCGTCGGGCCTGGGGGGGGAACCCCCTCGTCCGGGTACAATGACTGTCTATTCTGCTGATCACAAGCCTAATCCTCTTTGGTTTTTAATTGGCATTTGGGCTAAGCTGATTTAAACCTCTTCACCTTGTTGGGTCCCCCCCCTCCCCACTTCTTTCTTTTCTCTCTTTTTTTTTTTTTTTTTTTCAACGCTGCCATCACCAAGTCCCCGGCACAATGACATCTTTGTGCGAGGGCGAGAGGAGAGGAAAGGGGAAGGGAGGGGGAGAAGGGAAATGTGCTGAACCCACTCGGAAACAATGCGGAGTTTGTGATTCAGACTTGACCACTGGCAAAGGACCCGCTTCAGCTGCGCCTTGTTAATAAACGCACTGTCCCTTCCCAGCCCCTCTCCCCCTGCCCATCACCTCCGCCTCAGGCCAGCTGCCCACCGGCGCGGGCTCTACCTGCTGTCCCCACCCCTTGGTGGATGCAGCATCCCCGCGCCGTGCCGCAGCGGTACCCACATCCCACCCCAGTCTCACCATCGAGCTGCCCCCAGGGCGATGCGCAGTGGCGGGACGGGGACGTCCCGGTGTCCTCTCCACCCCATCCGTCCCCAAAGCCGAGCTGGTGTCCCCACGCTGAAGGCGCGTGCTGGCCGGCAGCCCTGAGCAGCCTGGATGGATGCTGGTGCAAATCTCAATCTACGTTGTGTTCCAGGCCAGGGTCTGCTGGCAGGAGAAGGAAGAGGAGGAGGAGGGTGGCGCATGCAGGATCAGCCATGGCGAGGGGCTTCTGCTGAGGGTCCCACAAGACAGGTCCTGCTGGCAGCTCCTTCGTGGCCAGGCTCTCATGGCTTTTGGAGGTGGGATTTTTTTCCCATATAGCCCCCGCTCCTGGGTTCACGTTATAGTGAGCAGATCTGAGTTAAAAACAAAAGCAACAGAAACACCTTTATTATCCTTTTTCCATTTAAGAGCCCAAAAAACTCCAAAGAACCCCAAAAGGAGTCCTTTCTTCCTGAGGTTGGGAAAGACACTTCTCATGGGGTTTGAGGTTAACAAACCTGCGATAAGAGAAATTAAACACAGAACAAAACCCACAGTTGTTTGAGACTTCGGGCCGAGCGGATGATGAGGAAGGTTCTGGCAACCACGGAGCTTTTGGCCTCTCTTTTTCCCCATAATGTGGTCACTGTGGTCCCGCACCAGAGCATTCGCTATAGGGACACTCAGCCCGCCTGATGCTAGAGACTGCCCAGTTTAAGAGCTTATGGAAAGCCTTTAAAAAAAAATAATAATAATAAAAAAATCCACTTACCAGGAAATTCCCCGCGAACTTTCACCAGGGCCAGAGACCCGCGATTTGCCAGCCAGAAAATGAGCAGAGCATCATGTAGGGTGAATGTGGGTGAACGCTCCTCCCTGGCAGGGAGAGAAAGAAAAGAGGATGGGAACACGTTAAATGTCAGCCCTGTCCTCCCCTGGCTGGATTACACCAGAACAGGGAGATTACAGCCACGTTTCTGGCAGAAAAGGGGAAGGAAGAAGAGGGAAGTCAGCTGGAAAACTCTCGGCATCCCTGTAACTGAGCTGGTTTCCAAAACTGAGCCCTGTGGAGATGCCCCAGCGGGTCTCCAGCCCTGCGGGGAGCGAGAGGAGCTGGAATCTGCTCCGGGGGGATTTGAAATAGGGGAAAGCTCTTGCACTGTCGCCGTCCCTTGTCCCTGCCGAGCAGGGTGCCAGCCAGCGTCCTGCTGCGGTCTCGGCGGCAACCCGGCCAAGCCCAAGCTTTCAAGAATTACAAGGCAGGACCAAAAGCTGTAAATCTAAGTAAAAAAAAATTTATTTTTTTTTTTTTCCCCCCATTTGACTTCTGTGGAACCGTGTTCTCCAGGGCTCGCCCCCTCCCCAGGGCAGCGGCTGCTCTATCAAAGCACCTAAAAGCCAAAACCGAACCCAGCAGCACCCTGAGACCCGGAGGGGAGCCGAGCTGCCCCGAGCGCATCGCCATGGCCGAGCCGGGAGGGACCCATCACCAGTGGGAGCTGCGTGGAGGGAAGATGCTTGGATGAAATGCAGAGAAACCCCACACACTGCTTCCCCGTGACCTTAACCCCAGCTCTCTCAACCCCAGGGACCAAGTGGGAGAGCTCCAGCACAGGCAGAATCCCTGCCTAAAAATAACAAAAATCAGCTGCCAGACGCTGCTCTGTATTGCTTTGGAGCATCCTTACAGAATTATTTCTTATTTTAATATTAAATATTTTATATTTAAATTATTTTATATGTTTTTCATCTGTATAAACTCTGCTTTCATCCACGGCTGTTCACTGGCTGCACACCGGTTTAAACACCCAGTATAGAATTTTGTTTAATAGAGAAAAGTGCTTGGGCCAGAGAAAGAGCCTTTTCTCCTGCCCATTAGCCCCATAAATCATTGATAACGTTGTAGAAATCAGAGAGATAACCCGATTCTGTGGAAATTAAGTGATGGAGAGCGAATGAGTGGCACTGGTGGGAGCAGAGCAGGGATGCCCAGACCCGTCCACTTCTCCTAACCCCACTTCCAACCCATTAATGTGCCCCGTTCGAGGGGAAGAATGAGAAAAAAAGGAAAAAAAAAAAAATTAAAAATCCTCCAGCACGGACCAAAGGTTATAAATAAAAGCAGTGAGAAATCAACTAAGTAGATGCAGCTTAGCCAGATCGCTAAGAGCCTTAGTGCATTTTTGCAAGCTTTAGGGAAGTATTTCCCATTCCTGACTAAGAAGGTTGGGCAGGCGGAGGGGAGCACAGGGCTGCCACCCTCCACCGCGGCTCCCGAAGCGTCACCATCGCCGGGGACAGCGGCCAAGGCCACCAAAAGGGAGATGCCGGGGTCAATCCTCACTTCCCTGGTCCCTTCCCTTCACAGACCCCAGCCAGGGACCAGGGTTGAGGCGAACCAGCCACGCTTCCCCCCGGGGATGACCCCAGCCAGGCACGTTTGGGGCTGCAGCATCAGCCCACCATGAAAAAAAAAAAAAAATTAAAAAAAAAAAATTAAAAAAATTTATTTTCCTGCTAAACATAAATTTCTGGTTATTTTTAATCTGCTTTCAAAATTCCCGTCACATCAGGGTTAAACTCGCTCGACATATTTAGGCTTTTAAGTTTCTGGGTCTCATGGCAACAGAGGGATGGGGAGAAATTAAAAAGAACAACAAACGTGGCCTCATGCAACCACAAGCCTCTCACAACAGGCTCTCCAGACAAAAACACCCCAAAATATTTCAAGCGCTGTAATAAAATGAATCGGTTCTCACCCCGCCAGGTTGTATGTTGTATAAAGTGATTTTTTTTTTTTTTTCCCCTCTCTGATATTAACCTTAGCGCAATAACTTCGTACCCACAAATCATCTGGACCAGGTGAAGCCTCTCACGCCTCTGCCCATCATGCGCAAGGACGGGATGAATTCGCTCGTGCTTCACGTTGATTTTTTTTTTTT